ACATTATTACGAACAGTTAATTCCTAATGGTATCAATTAGGGAGTACAGTAATCTCTATGACCTGCATTTGCCACATACAGTGAAAGGTTTGCCATTCGGCTAAGTTAATATGTCTCATCTGTACAGTATCACTTGGCAATGCAATTAATTTTTAAAAAATTGGAAACAATGATACAAAGCTGCAATAATCGGATGGTACCGTAGCCTGGTCACGAAATACCGTAGTGAAGGGATAGTTCGGCTTGGCCGAATGCCAGGTACACCTGACTGGCAAATAGCAATTTATTGATCCTGAAATTGGCATCGTTTTTTTTTTTTTGTGCCTTTTTGTGCCTCGTCGCTTTACCGTTATTATTGGCCAAGTTGAAGGTGGTGGCTAAATAAATGATATTGACCGGACGATGGAAATATGCAATCATTAATGATGTGTTTTTTTATTGTTACGTCTAAATTTTGTAAAATTTTGATGAATAATTTTTAATGTATATGCAGATTTAATTGCATGAGATTTTGTTATGCTAAATTCAGCATTCATTATTTTGGAATATGTTTTATTTATTCGCAATAAAATGAATATGTGTTGTGCCAGGAAAGAGATATTTTTTATTCTGGAAAACAAAATATTCGTTGTTTCTAAAGGCGAACAGACATTGCCGATGATTTGAAGAAATAATCAATTAAGGATGATGAGTCATCACGAAAACTTTATCATAAACGTATTAATTTCAGATGATTTATATGCTAATTTTATCAGATTATGTTTCTGAAAATAAAATGCAAACTTTCACAAAAAAATTACCTGGTAATATTTTTATAATTTACAGCATACAGTATTGATAATGATATAATTTTATGTAAAGTATGCTTTTTATGCTACTTCATATAAAGAATGTCCCAAATACGATGTTACACGTCAGATTTTGCTGATTGATATTCATCTGAAAGAGGACTAATGATGCTAACCATGATGTACGATGCTGTCACTTAAACTATTGATTTGCAGGCTGTTTAAGTCCATTTTTTCTGTATGCTTTAATTTCTCTCTCCTTAATTACGATTAAATATTACCCATAGACGTGTTAGCTAAAATTAATTTTAATAGGGTCATTATTGTTTGCAATGAAATCAGTCTAGCTTTTGCTATGAAAAAGCAAACTGACATCAATATAGCCGATAATGACATGGTCTAGAATGTTTCTTAACTTAATAACCGAATATTTCGAGCATTTCTATTAGAACCTAAGTTATTTCTTCATGTTTTATTGTTTTCTAACAAATTGGTGATTGAATAATTGAAGTAATTCTCGCAGTGGAACTCGACTAGTTCCTATTTCTTCTAAAACAAATGTGTTATTTCATCGAACTATATTGGTCGTATATATTTTCAGGGATGATGCATATTTGAAAAAATATTCATCCAGTGGATGGTACATTTTTAGCTGTTTTGCAGCATATTTTTTTTTCACTAATTACTCGTTCAACTGATTGGTAATGACTGATCGAGCAACTATTATTTCTGATACTAGTAAACAGCAGCAACAGCAGCTACCACAGCAGCAGCAGCAGCAGCTGTTACAACAACCACAGCAGCATCAGCAGCATCAGCAACAACAACAACAGCAACAACAACAACAACAACAGCAACAGCAAGAACAACAATCGCATGATCATCACGTGGAAAATTATCTTGCATCACCTACCGATGGCGTACAGAAGGATGAGAAAGGTACGGTTAATGTATGACCATAATCATTGCTGTCAAATTTATGACTTTATTATTAATTTACTTAGCGGTGGTGATTATTTTTTCTATTTGTTAATTTTTTTTTTCTCAAATTTGTTCTACTTCTAAATGACTCTGTAACGATGATTATGGTCTAAAAGTCGCTTTATTCGTATGTTTGTTTAAAAGCTATTGACATCATTTATTAACTGTTTCAAATGTTTTTTCCTTCTTCATTATCATTTAATAAAAAATTAGCCAATATCAGTACCTCGTAAATTTGTGTGACCATTAATTTATGTCCTTTATTTATTAATGGTGATTACATTTAGCTAGAGATAATTACTTTAGCAAACATAAATTTTCGTTTGTCTCTATAATTTTCTTACTGATTAAAAAATCCAAAAAAATGAAATCAATATTAAAGTCCGACAAAAAACCTAGAGGAAACAAAATCCAGAGAAATGTTTATAACGAATACTTTGTTGATTTTGTTGAAAAGCTATTAAGTTGTTAAGTTGGAATGGAAAAAAAATCGAAATTTGCAAACATTTTATCCAATTTAGAAAGCGCATCAAACTGTATTCAATGGTTGTTAATTTTCAGGTTATACCGTTGTTCCAGCAAGTGTCAGCTTTCGTGGTGTAAGCATGAAGTTAGATCTGAAAATTGATCAGAAAACGTTAGCCGCTGCAACAAATTTCTCAAAAGTTGTAGAAGAAGCTGTTTCCACTCATCTTTCATCGTCGGTTATACCGGTGGAAAACGGTGAAGTGGACAGTTCATTGATACCCCACATTCCACCTACGTCTACAACAATTACTGCTCAACCCTGCCACGCTGTATCCTCATTTACAGTCATGGAGGCTGCTAATAGTACCAAAGAATCACCTATCTGCGATAGTTCTGTCGAGAGTAGTACTGCATTTTTGGTGAGAATTTTGGTTCCTTTATGCACGAATTGCGAGATTTTAATTTAGACAGCTAAAGCAATGATGATTAGTCTAGATCACTAATGCATTAATGCATTCACAGTTTTGCTTTTTATAGTTCCACTCTTCAGTTTCTCTTCTGTTGAACTAACACTCCAATTTTTCTTTTTTTTTTCTTTCTTTTTTCTGAAGAAATAGTTTGATAGCTTTGCTAACTTTTGAACTCATATAGCGAAGTATATTCCGCATTGTCTTAATTGGTCATTCCTAGAACAAACTTTAAAAGAATTTCTCCTTTGCTTTTTATAAAAGCATTTTCCTGACCTCTTGCTTTGGCTCATATTTTTGCAATTCTTAAAATGATCTTTTCCACCGGTGCAGTTGACGAATGAAGTTTAACAAGAATGTTTTGTTATTTGCTTTTGTATCTATTCAGATCTAGTGCTATTCATTTTATGCATTTAGTTTTGCTTACATCCTGTAAGATAGTCTTAATGTTGTGGTGAAGTTGCGAATAGTATTGCTGTACACACTGGAACTTATGCGTAGAATCTTACTCTCTAAAAGGCAGGAATTCATTTTCTTCCGTAATGGGTAGATAAGATTGGATGAAATAAGCCGGCTTCATCAGTAGGTGATAATTCGAGAGTGAATATGCAATCATGAAATGGGTTTGATCAATAAAAACAACTGAATTCAGTATATTCAACCTTGGGTAAGATTATCGTGATACTCGTGTCGTTCTGTATTTGTCTGAAATTTGGATTTTATTTTCTGGTAAATTTCAGAGTAGAAATGAGTTATGCGAGCAGGTGAACGAAGTATGTAGTTCTACCGTGGATGCAAGTCCATTTTGTGATACTGCTTGCTCACCTATACAACTCGAATTGCAAACAAAATTACCACATGGCATCATGAACAATTACATAAAATCTCCAGATGATACACCTCCTGCATCGTCTGAAGAACAAAATAGTTAGTAAACATTTTGCTTATCCAGGCTGAGAATATATTCGGATATACTTTGAGATCGGCATCTCATAGCTCTAAAGAATAGTGATGCTGAGCATATTACCAAAAAATTTCCTGATATTTCAACTTTATCGTGCATATTATAAATTCGATCTTTTCAATCATATAGTTATTTTAAAGCAAATAACGTTTTTTTAGAGTAAAATATAATTATGCTGTTTTCTGCAGTTGCTCATTTTGAATTGTACTAAATCTTCTTTTTTTTCTAGACATTTCCACTGCCATATCCTTCGTATATAAAATTAATTCAGGAATTGCATCGCATTCATTAGTCAAAGAAGAACTGACCAATTTAGTGACTAATACTTCTGCACCAGATAATATCTATCTTACACCATGTGCGTCAACTTCATCAGCCGAGATAGATGCTGCCACATTTTCACCACTCTTGGCTAAAAAGCGAAAGGAGAAATCAACTACAGCATCTCATCTTTGTGAACAGATTGATCCAGAAAAAGGGCAGGTGTGTTCTTCATTTTTTTATTAAATTCTCAAAAAAAGATTTTTTATTATATTTTGTTTACTGTATTAATTTCAGTGTCGACAACGAGCTATTGTAAATTATCGTTACTGTATTCGTCATATACTCTTGGATCCAGAAGCACCTTATATACAGTGTCAACATCAACGCAAACCAAAAAGTGCACTTTTTTTCATTATTTTGCCAGTTGTTGAATGCTTAATATTTCATGGCTTATGTCTTGAAAATTTCATCATGGGTTATCTTAAGCAAAATTTTGATTTTTAGGCAAAAGAGATACCAATTTGCTTTGTACGAATGCAGTACGAAAAGACAAAGGAACAATTTACTGCAGTACACATCTGATCATGAATGGATTAATGGAACCGAGAAAAAAGAAAGCGAAAGCAGGTGCGGTGATTGTTGAGAGCACAGAACTTACTTCGTGTAATAACAATGTTTGGAATCGGTCCATGATTACTGGGAAATCGAGCCTGACAACTGCATTGTCACCAACATTAGTGGACACATACGAAGAAATGAATTGTATGTGTTTTGTTTTGAAATTTTGAGTATGTGACTATGATAACCTGTTCTCACGAATAATGAAGACTTAATAATCTATTCGAGAGCAACAGAATAATTTTATTCAAGAAAGGAGTTCATAATGAAATCATAATGAAATTCATAATGAAATCTAAACCAAAAATTTTATTGGATTTTTATTCAAATTCAAGGTACATCTCGCTCAATAGAACAAACTTGTATAAGAAATGATGGCGTCGTCTACAATAATGTCTTGAACAGTGCTGTGATAGCTGTTGATTCAGTAACCAACAAACGCACAGTGTATCACTTCTCAAAAACATCAGTAGCCAATACTTTACCCATGGAAGGAGATATTGCTACCGTTCCAACCGATTCAAGGAATGAAGTGACAACGGCTTCTGATAATGGTATATCGATTGAAGACGATGAATATACTGGACTACCAAAATTACCTGTACATAAGACCATCATGCCTCTTCCTGTTACATCATCTTATGGCGGAGTACGATCAACATATGAGTGTCCCGTGCAAGCAACAACTAGTCAGGTGGTAAGCAATAGCTATGTAAATTATGATTTTAATGGAGAAGGAACAATTTAATTTTAGTGACATACTCTTTTACATTTGTTTTATCAATTAGTCTGCTTTAAAGAATGGCTGAATTATACTAAAATTTAGAGATACAACCTTTCAAATTTATTTATGCCGAATGTTGATTTAGCTTATGCTCTGACCAAGTCCTTCCTTTCGCTTCATATTTCTGAAATCAAAATAAAATACGCTCATTAGACGTATAAATGAAGCATTTGAGCATTGATATAGCTACAATATATTTTTTCAGTCCACTAATTTATTCGATATTTTACATTAAACCGGAATTATATTTAACAAGTTATTTCTAGGTTTGTCGAAATCTACCTCAGTTATATCCACGGACAGCTTCTCAAGTGGTCACACCAGCTATTATCAAAACTCGTGATGGTGCACAAACTCCCTGTGCCCAGTCGACAATTGTGAAACAACGCATAACTGCCAATCTCAGCAAGCAACATCCGCAGCTTGCTGCTAAACTTCTTCAGGTTTACTCAGATTTCAAGAGAAGCAAGTAACGGGAAATTGATACTAATAATTCTTATGGTCGATAATTTAACCAAACAAATCAAAAACGTCGTAGGTGTCTCCAATAAGCGTTCAATAAGACTTTCTTATTGTTCAATTCGATGCTAATAATGGCGGATTATAATGCAACTTTATAGCTCAGTGATTCTGGTTTTGATAATTCTATGAAGCTTTTCATTATTTATTTATAAGTTTATAGTGAGTTAAAATTTTATTAAAACAGTGAAAAATCGTATTTGAATCATTTGCAGGCTCCAGCGTCTACAGCAGGGCAAAGCGTTGTATCATCGTTACCGGGTGCTCCAATACGTCCGAATTTTGCAAAAAGTATCATTCCATCATCACTTTTAGTTTCCGAACCACGTAATTTATTGCCCTCTACAGCGCCTCGTCTAACTTCTCATCAGGAACCTCCGCGTTTTTATAAGACACCTGAAGATGATAAAATTAAGTCAGCCATCAAGCAGGAAAAAAACGACGTGCCACAAAAGGTGAACTTTTTTAAAAAAAAAAAAAAAAAAAAAAACATGACACATCTTATAAAGCTTATCTTTTATTGCGGAGTAATTTTAGTTAAATGGAACCAGAAAACAAGAAATTATGGAATAGGTTAAGAAGGGAAAAAGCGATAATGATCAGAAAGGGCGAAGCAAAAAGAAATCAGATTTATATTGTTTTTAGTGCTAGTTATTTGTATGGCTCTGCACGTATCTGGATGTCGTTCTCGATGTTAATACTGTTTGGTCTATATCAAAAGATTCAGAAATTGGCTGACTTTTCTCATAAAAATAGAAATCTATCAGTCGATATAACCTTTTATATTCTAATTTCAAAAATTCTATTACTTCAGCCAAAAGTTATACAACTAAAGCAGAAACGAAGGCGAATGAAAATGACGGGAGTTTATCGGAAAATACCTCAAGTTGACCAAATGTGCAGAGTTTTAGAGGATCAAGATTTTGATCGAACCGATCTTTTTCCTCGTGGTCAGTTCATTCTTATATTTATATTCGAGTTAGCGGGAATAATTGATGTATAAAACTTCAGCGATATTCTGTTCTATTTTTTGGGGAGATTTTCTTTCTGAAGAACGTGATGCAGAATTAAAGTAAAGGACATCTCTATTTAGTTAATGAAAGTGTTGTAGGACTTGAACCATCAGATGATGAGGATGAAGAAAATGATTATCTTGATCTCAGATGGTCGGAGATGGCCTGTAATGCTGCTTCTGATCCTGCGCCTCAGGGAGCATTGCAAGTCTATTTAGTAAAAAAGCAGATCAGGTATGAGTATAATATTTTCGTGATAGAGAAGTAATATTAAATAGTGTGGGAGGACGTAGCACAATTTTTGACATATTTTTATGCTTAAAAAGTTATGCATGATGCTATGCAGTTTTAATTATGCAATGTGGTATTATTGATTCATTTATTTTTATTTTTAAAGTGTTTTCATTTTATTTGCTGCTGAAAGAATGGTTTCCATCTGCAATTCTTATTCTTTATTATTTTTGAAGATTGGACAAGAATGCATTAATGAAAGAAGCTGTTACGAATGCTCCGATAATGCATGCCTGCAAACAATATCCGAATAGTGTCGGTGCAGCACTAGCTGATCGTGCATCCAATTATGGGACTGCCGCAAGTGCTGTATTCAACCAGAAAAAGTTCATCTCTTTTTATATTTGAAATTAAAAGTTTGCCTTCTATAATGAAGCAATTGATAGGTTGGAATCATATTTCCGATCTTTTTTCATCGTAAAACAATATTACTGGACCAGTTTTCGTAATTTTTTTAAAATTTTTATTGAGATAAAAAATAGAGATTTCTAATTATTTTTCATAATCTGTTTAATCATGCTATTCTTTCATATTTTGTGCATGATAGAGGATGATATTCTTTACAAAACTTTTACAGCTCATTTTTTCGTTTTTGAATCTCATCAAAAATATTTCTGTTGTGATAATTTTACGAATTTTTCTTGTAGCCAAAGAGCTAAACTTTTTCATTTTTTTTAGATGTACCATCACGATCTTGAAAGGTGGTTCACCTCCCGTTCAGTGCACAAATAACTGTCTTCCTTTTTCCAATCATTGCGCACAACACATTTCTTACAATTTGAATCAGAAGTTATTCAGCTATTGCGCTGAGCCGTGTTGCTCACAACCTGTTCTTTGTGTTGATGCACCGAAAACTTTGAGTACGTTGTGTTCATAGTTTGAGTTAAAAATAATTAGCCAGAAAAGTGTAGAAATGAAGAACTATCCGGAACATAACATTTTTTTACTCATTTAAAGTTCCTTTAATTTTTCAGAATTGTGCGTTCATCATTATGAGCTAAGGAAGAAGAAAAAAGCCGAAGAAGAATTGGCACGGGAAAATGCTCACCAATCTTGGAAACAACAAGCAGCAATATGTTACGTGCAGCAGCAGCCCATGCAGCCGTATGAAGATGATATTCGTATGAACAGTCAGCACTCACATTATCAATCGCAGGATATTGCAACAGATAGATTAAATTCTGCTGCTCTGGGTGACTTCTGTGAACTTGAAAGTATGTTTTTTCGAAAGTATATTCCTTAAAAATTTCATTGTCATATTGCTAAGGTGAAGAATTCAAATCTAATGTTAACATTCATTAGCGCTTTTTATATATCATGTTTTTAATATACTTTTCTTTTTTATTATACGCCCTTAACCTGTTTTTCAAAACTCTTTCTGTCAGTGGGGTCAGCATCAAGTGGAAATGAATCGGATGTATATTTGGCTTCATTTGCTAAAGATCTAGAATTCAATTTTGATGGTAGAGAAATTAATGATATGTTGGCAAATTTCAATGTCGCTGATGGAGAAGGCGGTGATATTTTACATGATCAACCATTTTCAGGTATTTTATTTTATTGTATTTCATTTCCAATTTCTTTGGTAACTAAAAAATTTGCTTATTTATGTCTTGGTTTCATATGTATTAGCGAATCAGATTAAGAGTTTCAAAGCTTAGCTCTATGAATAGTTTTACGTTTTCGAAGGTATGGAATTGAATGGTATTGCTTGAAAATAAAGTGAAGAATAAAGTAGACCCGAGATGAATTCTGTAATGTTTATGTTACGAGTACTTACTCAAGTTCAAATGAAAGAATTTGTAGATTTAATTCAAAAAAAAAGTCCCAGAACTATTCAAATCCTATAATTTCAGATGGCGTGAAGGATGAATTTTTGCAACTACCAACAGAATTTAACGAAATGGCTGGTGGCCATAATTGGCTTGACGTAGAGCAATTTCTCATTTCCGAAGGTGTTGATTTATCATCATCATCGCAGTCGAGCAGTATATCCGCTGCTTCGGTGCCACAGCCATTAAGTCTAGCTAGCGGTGGAATAACTTTCTACGAATTCTCATCGTCATCATCATCGCATCAGCCACAAAGCTAACCTCATTCGTCATCAGGAAAGCATTTCTTTGACTCAAATTTCTTAGCCGAACTCACTTTTTTAAAAATAATCTCACAGCAAATGTATTTTGTTTCCTTGAATTGCTTCAGTCTGTATTTCTCGCTCTCGTTGCTCCAGGGAATAATTACTATTCCGAATAGGATGTTTTAGCCGCAGCAGGGATTGCACATAGTTAGATTTAGCTATCCAGGAATTTTAATGGTAAATTTTTATTGTTCCTGCAAAAACCTCTTTTTTACCATCAGCTCAGGTTTTTTCTTGAAAATTTAAAAATTTTTTAAAACATTTTTGAAGCATTTATTACTCCACTACTTTTATTAGTAGAATTTTACAACCCACTTTATGTACCCACGTTATACCATTCCTCTTTCTGAGCAAAAGCATTTCTGCAATTTCGGGTATGTAAATTTCTTTACCTTTTTTCCTTTTGTTTTGAATCGAACATGTCCTGGTGTGCTTACAGACGTACAGAAGTGCTTAGCGCTCAAAATGATCTCATTTAACTAACGTGGGCTTATTATTATGAAATCATTTGCTTTTAATTTTAAAAGAATTTCCTTTTTTTTCAGTATGAGTAAAGTTAAATTCAGTCCTGAAATGATGGGGTTATTTTTGATTATATGTGATAATTACATTTTGTTACGTTTGATGCCGGCATTAACGTCCTGCAGTAGAAGGTAGAACTGAGTAGCATTATCGAAAAGTCTCACATATTAATCGGTCACTAATAAATTCTAGATGTAAGAAAAAAGAGAATTTGTTCCCGGTTCTCTTGCATACTTGCACTTTCTTTTAGTGATCCTTGTATTTAAAATTAGTAGTATGAAATCTGCATAGAATATAACTTGTCTGTGATGTGGGTACTACTTTTACTATCGCAACTAAAATCCATTGATTCCAGGTTATAATATTTCTTGCTTCGTAGTACATTAGTTAGTTATACCATACCAAAGTACATTTTACGTATGTGATTAGTCGTGGATTTTAGGCTGTAAAAATTATGGTGTGGTGCAAATATTCAGTCTTGGACAAACTGTTTGTTTTTATAGGTTATGATAATTAATTAATATTAGTGGCTTTGTGTTCTGTTAAATCCTTATATCATTAGCAGATTTGTTCAGATTCGAAATTTTTTAAAAAGTGCAATTCAAACATTGGCTTTTGAAGGTATTTAAGGATGAGATATATTGATCCAACTTTGCTGCAGTCATCTGATGTCTTTAGAAGGAGGAAAATGGAGGGAAGGCATTCATGCATTTAAGAGATTTTTACACTTTTAAAGTGCCTTATTTCCGCGAACATTAAAGATCGATATTTTAGTTTTCATCCTTGGAATAGAGGA